TTAAGGAAGCATTTCTTGATGGTGAAGGACATCAGACAAAAATAAAGATGACTGAGGGAAATGAGGCCAGCTTCACTGGAGACATCTGATTACAGAATTTGTTTCACATGTAGGGGATAACTGAGTTTATTTGCTTCAAGAGAGACCGACAAGACATCTTTATAAGGCATGTTTAGTTCTGCTTGCCTTGTGTCTCAGTTTCCTTGATTACAATATGAGTATTCCCAGTATTACAAGAGGCATGCCCATAATCAGTCAAGGTGATCTAGAACTAAACCAAGCGTAATTTTTATATGACTGAGTTTAGAAAGAAGAATGTGGTCTTCTTCAGAGAACTCATTTAAAAAGGCCTGTTCTCTTACTAATCTCACTGAATCACTTTCTTTTCTACTTCCTCATCTGTAAAACGAGGATGCTGTGATTTAAGTGATCACAAAGGAGTTTCTGCTTCCACGAGTAAAAAAAGTTTCTCTAATAGATAGTATGAGGGTTTTTTTTTTTTCTATATTAAATACAGTGTCCCCTTCAACAAGTACAAGAGTGGGAAGTGTTTAGATATCTCCCTTAACCTTCAGAAAAAATAGATAATGTCATGTTAACACATTCACAGTTGAGTAAGATGTGCCGCCATTGGCAATAAGGAGGAAGAGGCAGAAAATGAAGAGGTAACTTGGCTCACTATCATAGTTTTCTCTACTGAGGACATATCTACATTTTACGGAACCAAAAAGCCAGATGTCATTTAAACAGCATCTGCTCCAATTTGCTCATTATAAAGATGCAGAAACAAGGCCCAGTGTGGAAAAAAAATCACCTGAGGTTCTCCAGCAAGTGACCCAGGTGGAACTCCCAATTCTGAGTCTGATAGTTTTTCTGATAAGTCATTTGTTTATAACAGCTTTTAGTTTACAGGTGACACACCCTAGGCAGCTAGACAGAGCTTCTCTAATCCTCTCTGACATCTGTAGTTGTGGGACAGCACAGAAAGATAGCTCCCAATAGATCTTAAGAAAGATCTTTGATTGAGTTGTCTGGACTGGGCAAGTTCTCAAAGTAGATTCAAAGTAGAAGTTTCAACTTCTGGAAAGAGGTACACTTGCACAGCTTTCTTGAACCTGTGCCCTGTGGGGAAAGGCAAAGATGTTTGGAAATTGGGAATAGATCATCTAAGACTGAAGTACTCACACTTGGCCAGTGCCTAGGAACTCTGGGAAAATACTTTTACTTCTAAGAGACTCAATCTACTTATGTAGAAAATAGGAATAACAATAACAACCTTTGTTTTAATTGAAGATAAAGTGGAACACAATGTGAATGTACTTTGTCAAGCAAACTAGTACACGAACATGAACAATTATATTTCATGGGGCCTGCGTGGTTGCGTAGTAGGTTAATCCTCCACCTGCAGCGCCGGCATCCCATATGGGCACCAGTGCTAGTCCTGGCTGCTCCTCTTCCAATCCAGCTCTCTGCTATGGCCTGGGAAAGCAGTGGAAGATGGCCCAAGTCCTTGGGCCCTTATACCTGCGTGGGAGACTGGGAAGAAGCACCTGGCTCCTGGCTTCAGATCGGCGCAGCTCCAGCCATCGTGGCCATTTGGGGAATGAACCAATGGACAGAATAGCTTTCTCTCTGTCTCTCCCTCTCACTGTCTGTAACTCTACCTCTCATGTAGATAAATACAATCTTTTAAAAAGTTATATTTCATTTATAAATTTAAGTATCATTTATTGAGCATCTACTATGTGCCAGGCACTGTGCTGGGGAAATGAATTAGTAAAACCAACAGATGAAAACCCTTGCTCCTTAAGAAATTTGCATTTTAGTAGGAGAGCTAAACAATAACTAAAATGTATAAGTAAAATATGTTAGATAGTGATAGGTGTAATGAAGAAAAATAAGGCAGGAAAGGGGGAAAGGTACTGCAAGGTCACAATTTTAAATAAAATAGTCAGGAAAGTCTCAAGGGGATAATATTTGAGTAAAGACTCAAAGGAGGTGAGGAAGGGGGCTACATAGAAATCTGGAGGATGATTGCTCCAGGCAGAGAGAAGAATCAGAGCAAAAATTCTGAGGTGGGAACACGTCAGGCACATTGAGAGAATAGCAGGCCAGTGTGGCTGGTGTAGTGAGTGCATGGGTAAAAGGAGCAAGAGATGAAGTCACAGAGGTAATGAGAGATTGGCCATACAGAGCCTTATAAGTAATAGAATTTTGGTTTTTACTTCAGAAGATGGTGAGCCAGTGGAAAGTTTTTAGCAGAGGAATGGTATGACTTGACTCAGGTCTTGATATCTTCCCTTGGCTATCAAGTGGAGAACAGACTGCACTTACTTTTATTTCAGGCCCCTATGACACTGTAATACATCTATCATTTTGGAGTAATGCTTCTCAAACTTGAATATATGTTGTACATCAATTGGGAATCTTATTAAGATATAGAATCTGATTCAGTAGGTCTGGGTTAGAGCCAAAAATGCTATATTCCTGACAAGTTCCCAGGTGACACAGATGCCAGTGGTCTAGAGTATAACATTTTGAGCATAGGAGCTATGCCCAGGACCTGGTATGGAGTTGAATGTCACTGAAAGTTCGCTGTATAAATGACATTTTGATAGCTTGATATCCAACATCATATAGCACATTCTAGAGGAGAATTTTGTTTTTAAATATCAGACATTTGTGGAAAGAAGGGAATAAGAAAATGATATGGATGAGTAGACAGAGAAAGGAAAGGGAAACTCTCTTCTCCTAAATACTTATAGGTTATTACAATTTTATATTTACTTAATTTCCCCAGTAACCTTAAGATGTTTGTATAATGAAGTCCATTGGACAAATGAGAAGATTGAAGGTCAGAGGGCTAAGGGATGTCTTCAAGGTTACAGGTTAATTAGTGACTAGTTAGTATGTGAAAGCCAGCACTCCATGTCCCCAGTGCTCATGTTCTTTCCACTACATCTTACTGTCTCATGAAGGATGACCCAGAAAGGGTAAGAAAAAGAGTTAAGGTGAAGAAAGTTAAGGGCCCCAGTCCTTGGCCTTGGTCTTTTTAGATCTATACTGTACAATGTGGCTGTCACTAGTCACATGTAATTAATTAAATTTAAATAAAATTTAATTTTCATTTCTCAGTCATACTAGCCATATTTCAAGTGCTCAACAGCCACAAATGTCTGGTTAGTGGCTTACTGCATTAGAAAGTGAAGACAGAGAACATTTTCATCACTGCAGAAAGTTCTACTGTCAGCACTGTCCTAGAGAAATGACCCTAAATGGCCTCCAGGTTAGGGGATAGAAAATAGGACATGACCCCTCCTCTAATGGGAAACTGAACAAAAAAGATTCAAACGCTATAACTAGTGCTCACAGTATTTTTTTACACTTTGTGTTTCTGCGTGGGTACAAACTGTTGAAATCCTTACTTAATTTATACTAAATTGACCTTCTGTATATAAAGATAATTGAAAATGAATCTTGAGGCTGGCGCCGCGGCTCAATAGGCTAACCCTCCACCTAGCGGCGCCAGCACACCAGGTTCTAGTCCCGGTCGGGGCGCCGGATTCTGTCCTGGTTGCCCCTCTTCCAGGCCAGCTCTCTGCTATGGCCCAGGGAAGGCAGTAGAGGATGGCCCAAGTGCTTGGGCCCTGCACCCCATGGGAGACCAGGAGAAGCACCTGGCTCCTGCCATCGGATCAGCGCAGTGTGCCGGCCGCAGCGCGCCAGCCATGGTGGCCATTGGAGGGTGAACCAACGGCAAAAAGGAAGACCTTTCTCTCTGTCTCTCTCTCTCACTATCCACTCTACCTGTCAAAAAAAAAAAAAAGAAAGAAAGAAAGAAAGAAAGAAAGAAAATGAATCTTGATGTGAATTGAATGGGAGAGGGAGCGGGAAATGGGAGATGGGAGGGGTGCGGGTGGGAGATGGGAGCGGTGCGGGTGGGAGAGAAGTTATGGGGGGAAAAGCCATTGTAATCCATAAACTGTACTTTAGAAATTTATATTCATTAACTAAAAGTTAAAAAAAAAGAAAAATTTTCTCTAGATCAAGAAGAAAGCTGTAACTGGGAGTGTGTGTGTGTTTGTGTGTGTCTTAAAAATATCCTTTTCTCCATTTCTCACTGGTTTCCTCTTACTGTTTAGTAAAACAACCTTTGAAAATGCCAACTTGCTTCTACTGAGCTCAAGAGAGTGTGAGAATAAAAGTCCTCACTTCCACTTAGTACTGAGAAGGAAGAGAATGGTGTTAGAGAATATAGAAACACAACCCTGGAGTGTGGGAGTATAGGGGCACAGTAAAATGACATACTTCAGGGAAATACTGAAGAAGTCACGGCTTGTCCATACAATGTTTATTTGATGTAGATTTCTTTCCACAAGCTCTTCTTTGCTCAAGCCTACAACCAGTGTTCTCCAAGTGAGACAGGACTAGCAGCAGCAGTTATCACCAGGGATGCTCATTAAGCTTAGAGATGCTTATGCCTTAGCTCAGACTCATAATTCTCAACTTGAATGGCAGGGGTGAGGGGGCTGGAATCTATGTTTAACAAACTCCCCCAAGAGACTCTGGTGAATGTTCAAGTCTATGAATCATTGTCTTGAAGAGAGATGTGTTTTGTTTTAATGAGTAAGGTTATTAGGCTCTTACATGGAGTAGCAGCAAGTGGATTAAAAACCAAGAGAATAAAGACAGAGATTTAGGTGAGAGAAGGACAGAAAGACAGAGATGGGAGAGAGTGGAGAGATAAACAAGAGAGAAAATGACTGATAATAGAATAAGAGAGACAGAGAAAAGGTGAGAAACAGAGTGATTGAGAAATCCAAAAATTTCTAAGGATTCTATTCACTCCATTGAATAGCATCTGGAAAGCCAGTTCAGTTACCCTTTCCTGTTTCCTGTCCTTGGGACTGTCACAGGCACAGCCCAGGAGAGATGTCATTTCTTCATGGAAGTGCCCTCCACCCCACCCTGCATGCCCCCAAATGCACTACCACGACTACCTCACAAATGTCCTTGAGGTGCTTGATGTAGTGACGCTCAGTGCTCATGATTTCATTGATGACGTTGGCCCGCATCTGGTCCCGGTTCTGTAGTGGCCGGCCCAGACAAAGGCAGTCTGAGTTGGGGTCCAGGTGCCCATTCTGTACATCACTGGGCCCTTCCTCCACCCCATCCTCCTGGTTCACCCAGAGCTGTGGAAGTACACACAAAAAAGAATGGGTTAGCCACCTTAGGAGTTTCCAGCCAAGTAGAAAAAAGGATAAATTAAAATTCAGAGATTCTTTATCCCAAGGCCCCTGCAAAAAGAATGCAATATTTGCTCTAGGGTGATTTGTAACCTTGTGCATGTGTATATCTCTCTGATTTCTGGTGCCGTAACTGTAAAACGGAGGATGGAGCAGAGGTTGGGGAGATATCTAAATCGTATCTGAGTACCTTTGTGTCTAAAAGGTCTCAGAAGAGGGAGAAGTGATGGCAAGCAGAATTTCTTCATACTGTAGAAAATCTAAGTATCACAGCTGGATCAAGAAAAAAAAAAGATTAAGCTAAACATCTTCAGAGTCACAGGTGAATTATTGTCCAAATGCAGAATTTTAGTGTCCATGAGCATGAATACCAAAGCTGGATGCTAGAGTGGAATACAGGCTCAAACCAAGGGCTTTTTAGTACTGCTTTCCACCAAAGGATATACAAATAATCATCAAAATTGGACTGTGAACTTCCTTGGATATACAAAGATTTCTACCTCCTCAAAGTTACAGTGGAAATGGCAGAATATTTCTCCACTTGCTGGGCACTTATTACCACCATCCACTGTGCTAAGAACTTTTAATACCTACAGGTAACAAGGGGATTTCAAAGTTCATGGAGGAGCCAGTGTTTGTGGTGCAGTAGGTTAAGTCGCCAACTGCAATGCCAGCATCCCATATGGGCACTCATTCGAGTCCTGGCTGTTCCACTTCTGGTCCAGCTCCCTGATAATGTGCTTGGGAAAGCAGTGGAGGATGGCCCAGGTGCTTGGGGCCCTGCATCCACGTGGGAGACCTGGAAGAATCTCCTGGCTCTTGGCTTTGGATTGGCTTAGCTCCAGCCGTTGTGGCCTTTTGGGGAGTGAACCAGCGAATGGAAGACCTCTCTCTCTCTCTCTCTCTCCCTCTCCCTCTCTGTAACTCTTTCAAATAAATAAAATAAAAAAGTTTATGGAAAATAAAATTAAAATATAACAACTTTGGCACAAAAAATTGAGATCCATGCATATGAGTAGTTTTCAAAATGCATATTTAAAAAAACTATGGATGAACTTTGATTTTTTGCAAAAAAGTCTTTTAATTCTATTTTCCAAAATTTTTTAAATTAAAAAAAACAGGATTAATGTATGTAATACCCGTACATTTTTATGGAGCACATTACAAATTTCAACACATAAGCACGTGATTAACCTTTCTATTTCCTTATCTTTTCTATGTGTTTGAAGCCTATGAGCTACAAATTACCTCATATTACCACCAATTTACAGATGAGAGTAACAGAGTAGTTAAGACATTTGTCCCTAGTCTCACACATAGGAAACAGAGGAACGGGGATAGAAGCCAGGCTGTCTGACTCTAGAAACTACACTCTTAACCTCTGTGCCAGTACCTTGGTGATTTGGGCTCTAAGGCAGACAGGAAAACAGAAGAAAAGAGCTTAGACCAAGGTGAGCTAAGAATTATTGAAATCATCAGATATGGATACAGTTAAGATTACTGATTAAGTCATGAAGGCAGAGGGAGGCTGAAGACACCTTTCGGAGGAAGTTGGGTGAAGGTGTTTCTGGATCTTAGAGGACTTCACTTGAATCAAGGAGATGGCCCATTTTACCCCTGTCCTAGGAAAGGGGAAAATTATGGGGGTAGGTAGAAAATAAGAGTGGGCCCCCCTAGGCAGAGTAGCAGTTTTAATCAATTATCTTTATTTCTGCATTCTACCCCCTAGCTTTTTCCACATTTCTGCCTCAAGATCAAGCAATGAAATGAAATCCTACAGACATTTTGGAGATACCTCAGAAATCTGAATACAGCGCTACCATACGACCCATCAATCCCACTCCTTGGAATTTACCCAAAGGAAATGAAATCAGCAAATAAAAGAGACATCTGCACCTCTATGTTTATTGCAGCTCAATTCACAACAGCCAAGACATGGAATCAACCTAAATGCCATCAACAGAAGACTGGTTAAAGAAACTATGGGATATGTACTCTATGGAATACTACACAGCAGTTAAAAAAATCCGGTCATTTAAAGCTAAATGGATGAATCTGGAAAATATCATACTTAGTGAAATAAGCCAGTTCCAAAGGGACAAATATATGTTCTCCCTGATCGGTGACAACTAACAGAGCACCTAAAAGGAAACCTGTAGAAGTGAAACAGACACTATGAGAAGCAATTACTTGAACAGCCCTTGTCTTGACTGTCAAGGAACACTTTATTATTTCACTTTATCTATTTTTTTATTCTTTTTTTTTCTTCTCCACTTAATACCATTGGCTGAACTCCTTACTTAACATAGAATTAATCATAAATGTATTAAGTCAATTGAAAATAGATCCCAGTTAAAAATAAGAGTGGGAATGAGAGAGGGAGGGAGCTATACAGAACACCACACATTCCCACAGACCTACCCCTAAGGGTGAAGCTAAAAACTTGCCATAGGACTCCAAATCCCATTTAGCAGGGTGGCACTAATCCCATCTTATATGATAAAGTGATCATATTAAGTATGAAACTGATCATATACATAGGACCATCAGTCAAAGCGATCACATAAGACCAAGAGCTTGGTAATAACAATAGATAGAATTACAAAGGAGAAAAAGTTCCAACATGGGAAGTAGTCCACACAGCAGACTCATAGAATGAGAAACACCCTAAACAGCACTCTGACCTCAGAATCAGCCTCTAAGTCCTAACTGAAAACACCATGAGAACATTTCAGGCATGGAAAACCAAGACATAGTGGCAAAAAAGGTTCTGCATGAAGGATCTCTATGAATGAGACCCCAGTGGGAAGAAAGGGCCATCAAAGAAGGATGTACTTGCCTCTGAAAGGAAGAGAGAACTTCCACTTGCATATGGCCCTGTCTAAATACTGGCAGAGTTTGTGAACTCAAAAGGCTTCCATAGCCTTGGCAGCTCATGTCAAGAGCCTCGGTTGATCACTGACTTCATAAATAAGAGTCAATTGTTAAATCAACAACAGGAGTCACTGTGCACTTGCTCCCCATGCTGGACCTTTGTCCTTAATGAGTTGTACTATGAGAATTAATGGTAAAATTTGTCTTCAAACTGTACATTATACTTTGTGTCTGTATGAGTGCAAATAGTTGAAATCTCTCCTTAATAAAGAGTTTGTCTTCTGTATATAAAGTCAATTAAAAACAAATCTTAATGGCAAATGGAATGGGAGAGGGAGTGGAAGCTGGGATGGGAGTGAAGGTGGGAGGGTAGGTATGGGGGGAAGAAACACTATATCCCTAAAAGCTATACATATGAAAATCTATATTCATTAAATAAAAACCTTTAAAAAATAAAAATAATAAAAAAATAATAAATGCAATCGTACTTCTGCCATCAGGGAAGCCTGTTTATGGGTGGCCTCAGGGGGACAGAGGCTTTGGGATGGAACTAGAAGGATATCAGCTATTTCCTAACTCTCTATTTTCTTCCTTTCCCTTGCTCCTATTAAGGGTGAACAGTTGTTACCCAGTGATCCTGGAGATGTCCCCAGCATACATTCCACTTATTTGCGACAAGAAAAAATAAGTATCGCTTACTGTTTTAATGCATTCTGCACACATAGCCAAATGTATAAAATTTATCTCCACTGAGAACCTATTGCCCTCTGTAAAAGCTCTATTGGAAATCTCTTCCAAAAGGTCAGCCTTGTGTGTGCAAAATGTTAAGAGCTGCCTTTTAATACAATAATGGACAATATGAAAGACGATTATTCAAAGGAATAGACCTGGTCAAAAAGTGATTCAAGGGCATTTGTTATGGTTTGAATATGTTTGTTCGCCAAGAGTTCATCTGTTGAAAGTCTGATCCCTAAGCCAGCGCCATGGCTCACTAGGATAATCCTCTGCCTTGCGGTGCCAGCACACCAGGTTCTAGTCCCGGTAGGGGCGCTGGATTCTGTCCCGGTTGCCCCTCTTCCAGTCCAGCTCTCTGCTGTGGCCAGGGAGTGCAGTGGAGGATCGCCCAAGTACTTGGGTCCTGCACCCCATGGGAAACCAGGAGAAGTACCTGGCTCCTGCCATTGGATCAGCGCGGTGCGCCGGCCGCAGCGCGCCGGCTGCAGCGGCCATTGGAGGGTGACCCAATGGCAAAGGAAGACCTTTCTCTCTGTCTCTCTCTCTCACTGTCCACTCTGCCTGTCAAAAAAAAAAATAAATAAATAAAAAATAAAAAAAATAAAAAATAAAAAAAGAAAAAAAGAAATTCTGATCCCTGATGTGGTGATGTTAAGAAGTAGTAGGACCTTGAAGAGGTAGGGCCCAGGGGCCAGCACTGTAGCATAGTAGGCTAAGCTTCTGCCTTTGCACCGGCATCCCCTATGGGCATTGGATCGTGTCCTGGTTGCTCCACTTCCGATCCAGCTCCCTGCTAATGGCCTGGGAAAGCAGTGGAAGATGGCCCCAAGCACTTGGACCCCTGTACCCACATGGGAGACCTGGAAGAAGCTCCTAGGTACTGGCTTTGGAATGGCCCAGCTCCAACCATTGTGACCATTTGGGGAGTGAACCAGTGGATGTAAGATCTTTCTCTCTGTCTCTCCCTCTCCCTGTTTGTAACTCTAGCTCTCAAAGAGATGAGAGAGAGAGAGAGAGAGAGAGAGAGAAAGAGAAAGCGCTCTGAAGGTAATTAGGTCCCTGTTCTCACTGTTCTCATAAAGGAATAATGTAGTAATGTAGTCCCGCCTCCTGGGACTCAAGTCTTTCTCTGACTACCTATCTTTCTCTTTCACATACGGTCCTACTAAGATATCATACACCATGTAATGCAGCCATGAAGGTCCTTGCAAGAGCTGGTACTATACTGTTTAGACTTAATGCCTCTAAAACTGAGCTAAATAAACCTATTTTCTTTATGCATTCTCCAGTCTCAAGTATTTTGTTATAGTAATGGAAAACAGACTAATACAGCATTA